TATGGAAAATATTTCTGTAAAATCGAACAAACCACGTGAAACTAGGCAGTTTTTATACTGGGGTCATTTGATACCTTAAGAATACAGCCTTCTTATATTTTGATGGGATTAACTAATAATGACATAGGTAGCGCAAGCATCTAGGAAAGAATAGCATTTCTGTTCTAATTTTTACAGGTTTTTAAGTTCCCAATTTTTATGTATCTTGTTTGCTGGCTATTTTTATGCTCAACTATGGGCAAAGGATTAACTTATATGATAGTTAAATTTATAGATTGTAATGATAATATACATAGCCAGCTGATACGTTCATGATGATTTACTATAGCTATTGACTATTTGATCACATTAGCTCGAGATGTAAAATGTTAAGCTGCAGCTGGAGATTGTCATGGAGATTTGTTTGAGAATATAGTGAGCATTTATAGTTTCTGTGTAATAAAATTCTATATATATATATATAATGCATAGCAATGAGCAAATATTTGCCTAGACTAAGACACAATCCCCACTAAGCGCATATAAATATTTACCAGTAGAAAAGCAGCCTTTTCAAATATGACATATACGTCTAAAACATCGCTTTAATTACACCGTCGGATCTTTTTTTTAACTCTTCACTTCATACATAATATACAGGTTGGCTCTCTAAAGACCCTGTTTGTATAGTGTACAAAGCATTGAGTGTCTACATGTTACAATCATCTAATGTTCATCTATTATTGGCTGGTAATTCCTGTTTCACCCTATACTTAAGCTTTTTAGGGGAACATCAGATATTTGTAAGAAGGTTACCTTCAAGGGGTAATGATAACATAATTTACACTAGAATTATGATATTTTAAATTATGTAAAATATAGAAGAAACAAACCGACTTTTCAATATCCATACGACCTTCCCAGTACCGTATTTAGTATTCTACAAAAGGTTTGAGTATAATATACCAAACCTTTTTTGTTGTAGGCTGGCAAGAAAATAATAATAATAAGTACAAACAGGCCGTTTTGAGCGTATTTTCTTTTCCTTGTAATGTTAACATGTGTGCTTGTTTGTGCATTTTTATATGTGTACAACCTTTGATTGTGTTTTCAAAAATAAATATGTATATTGTTTCACTTTGTATATATTGTATCCAGTCTCCTTCCTTCTTTTGCGGACTTACAGCTAGAAACCGGGTTTCGATACCCGTGGGGGCAGAGCACAGATAGCCCTTTGTGTAGCTTTATGCTTAACTACAAACAAACAAACAAACCTTTTTATAACTCAGTCAAACTCAAAATATTCACATTTCCTCTGTAATACATTTCCTGATCGAATCTTCAATTATTCTGCGGATCTTACTCGATTACAGAGGGCTGAGTACGTTATATTAAAGTGATTTTGTACATACAAACCAGCAAGTTACGTGATAAGCAGTATAAAGTAGCAGTGGAACGAATGTATCATAACTACATTTTGACCTTGCTTTGCACATCATTGGTACTAAGATGCCACATGCCACCAAAAAGTGATCGCTATCGGAAAAGGTATTTAATAGCCCTTTCCATACAAAATATGCATACACTCAGACCATAAAGAGATGTAAAGTTTTATAATTTTCAAGGTGGAGATATCCTGTTTTCTTAATGGCATTAGAAAACAAAATAATATGGATAAACTTGGGACACACCATCTGGAAAAAGACCTGCAACAAGTCGCATCCCACCCATAGTAAGAAGAATGTGGCGTATTTTAATAGGTTAGAATACATAAACATAGAGGTTAGTGGCAAAAGCCTTCCACGTGTCCCACGCAACATAATCAAGAAGGATCCCCGTATAGAGAAGCAACACAAGTCACATGTACACACGTTGCTTTCACAACAAATCTGTTCAACCTTAGTATAACTCTAACAGCTGGAGAATGAAACGGGTATTCATGCTATCGCTATTTTACAGGAAAACATGTTGGTAAAGTCTCCGGACGCAGCGCCTATAAATTTCTGTGTGATCGGATTGTTGAAAGGAGTGCTGGGAAATTATTGCTCACAAAATGAATAATGGAAATCAGTTGGGAAAAGGGATGTGCTTTAGACGTAACAGTTTTATGAAGGAGTCTTTTCTAACGGAAACAGTACTACATGGCTATTGTCAATATTTACGGTCGTCAGATAAAGAATAACTGGACGTGGCGACATGGACTGTAATGGCGTGGTGAGGCTCCAAACTCGTTTTAATACAATGTTTTCAAGTTCTGTATCCTTAAGGGAACTCAGTGTACCTGAAAATAATATGCATTTGCCGAGGGTGGAAATTGTAAGGGAAACGAATTATGAAATAGTAATATGTAAGTGCAGAAAACATTGAATTATAATTCTTAAAAAGTGAAAAACAGAAATGAGAAAATGGACATAAGGAAGAATAAGCTAAGATAAATAAAGTCTAGCGTTGTTGGGAAAGAATACGATTGATTAATGCCTGTTGATTAGGCTAGCGTTATTTCTGGTTTTTAAAAAAGTCTTAGCCTAACACCACAATAAGATATTTATCTTTATTTACAAAACATAATGAAACACTATATTTTACAATGTTTTTATATTGTGGTATTTATGCCCTTCTAATAAAACTTGATTTTTTTTATAAATTTTAAATCACAAATCTTTAAATGTGTTATGTGCGCGCAATGTCTGCCGTTACCATGGTTATCTTAAAACCTCGTAGCTATATATTGTTTTTTGTTCTATTAGTAGTGTGTAAGTTCCTTAGTATAGATTGAAAGAAGGATGTGTCCTTCGTTCAACTGTTCCGTTTTGTCAATCTTATACCAAAGTTATCAAGAAAAAACTAATAAGAAATTAGATTTGTCTTTTCGTTAAGTTGACCATATTATCGTATAATATATGTTGAGATCGTTGAACTGTGAGAAATAACAAGATTCCAGACTTGATTAATTGAGTGATCACTTCCAGTGACATTGTAACTGTTCTGTTGTTTGGCACAAGTCGAAGCAAAAGTAACAAACTCTAAGAAATCGTATCTATAACAGATAAAGAACGCTTGCACTAAGGTTATTTTAATAAGGCTTGATGTTCTCCCTAAACTGAGTCAGAACTTAATATACAAAAAATATGGATGAAATTCAATTGTTTATTATAATAATTTATATATATATGTAATTACAATATATATACAATGTAATATATATATACATTACAAATAAATTACACTTGGAATTAGTATTATGTTTTACATGTATATATGGAAATTTAATGTATATAATACGACGATATGGAGACACTGTTTTATTATCATTACTATTATTATATACCTTTTAAGGTTTGTCAGTTGCTTTCAACTAATTTTGTCACGTAATTTTCTTTGAATTATTTGTGAATTCGTGGAAAATCTCTGAGAAAAGTTTGTTAAAACTCTAAAATATGGCTTAAAAAACAATTAAGTTATTAAAGTTAAACGCCATTTAATAGCACTAAATTACGATGATTCATAACTGATATTCATTTTCGTGTACTCGTGTTTTTTTCAGAATTATCGAGTAAATTCGTCTTGCTAATAAACTGGGACTTTGCTTATTATTATTATTTCCTTTGTCACTAGAAACAGCTGCTGAGAACTCACTTATCTGATTTGATCTATTCAGTCTTGTTCGTTTACTAAACTATTTGGTCGGAAGGAAAGAAGATTAAAAGTGCTGTTACAGTGATATCAAACCTTTGATTAAAAGATTAACTTCCAAATTCTGAGGACCATTTTCCTAGTGATTTTTAGAATACATAGCGGTCTTGATATCACCATTTCCTTTGTTTATTTTAAACTCTTTTGTAATTCAAATTTGTTCTGAATTCACAATTATTTTATTCTTGTAAGCTATATTTTCAACATTATAATTTATTTGTTTGCTAGAGGGAGCTGCTAATCATGATGATGATGCAATATCTAGAAAGCTCATGATGAGGTAATATTGGAGAAGATTTCTGGTGTATGTAGAAATAAGGATAGGACACAGTGTCAGAAAAGTTACTCAATGTTACTAGTGAGAGTTATCGTGTGTATTCCGCTATTTAGATGCTTGATCAATCAGCTGTGGAATTCTACAAGTAATTTTATGAGTAAGTTAGGCCTACTTTTGTTTCAGAGTTTATGTTTAAAAAGTTAGTTTATTATTTGAAATTAGATCTACAAGTGAATGTGGCTGTAGTAAAAGTTCACTGAAAAATATAATTTCTTATTATTTCATAGGTTGGAGTTGGCGGTATATTTACTAAAATACCCACTTAACAATAGAATATTGTTGTGTCAGCGAGGTCACGTGACTAGTATCACTTCTTTCTCGAACTTTCGTGAATTGTCGGGATATTACTAGATTGGGGTAGGCTGGTATATATAAGATGGTCACAACGTGACGGGACAATGTGTAGGTAATGAGTAATTGAACTGCAGTCAGAGAGTGTGTAATTGAGTATTGTCGAGCACGAGCACGTGAGACGTTCTAGCGTTTGTTATAGAGCGACTGTTGAAATTAAGTATATCGATAAAGTTGTATTCGGAAAGAATAAACCAGTTTTATTTTAGAAAGGACTTGTGTCGCTGAAGTTTCGTCGGAACAAAATTACGGAAAGTTAATTAACGAACGGAGACGTAACAATAGATTAATCTATGAAATCCTTTTTTCTCCTTTGTATTAGCTATATTTATATATATATATATATATATCGCGCGTATACCCGATTCGATTTTATTAACATTAGGATCTCTACCAGCATACCTTCAAATTGAAATTATTTTAGGCAAGTTTACAATAAATTAATTCATGAGACTTTAGGCGTGTTCAAATACATCAATCGGAAGGGTTTGACCGCCTGAGTCTAAAACTGTAATTAGATCTCAAATTAGTCAAGAGGTGACGGAACTATGAGCCATTCTAATTTCTATGAGCCGCTAGGCAGCGGCTAAAAATGTTGCACAACATCAGAAAATCAATAACGATTTTTCTTGTTCTTTTATATGACGGTCCAATTCTTACATATAGCACTTCGAGTCCAAGTTACTGGGATATATAAATATTTCAGAACTTATTTCAAAAAATGCAGACGATTTTGAGAACGCTAGATGACTCTGTTATCAATTTTCATTAAGTGCTAAAACGTGTTTTAGTTCAAACTATAAAGATCAAATTTTACAAAATGCAAGTTTCTAACCCCAATGATGTGAAGATTTACAACCTAAGTGCAGGAAAGTCGTTACCAGAGGTATGACATGATAGATTACTTATTTTAAAACAGTATTGAAATGTGGACTATTAATTATATAAAGTCATATTTAATTTTTACACTTAGGAAATTCAGTGGCATCACAATCACATAACTCAGAGTCATACTCATAGACTCAGACGTGCAGTATACATGATTAACTTTGTAAATTGTAGTTTGTAACTGCCATATTCAACTTGTGAAAGGTTTTTGATTTGCCATTCATCTCTACCAGAATTTGACATATAATAATTAATATACTATATCGTACGAAATGTTTCATATCAACTGAAGTTGGAACATTGTAATTTGTAGTAGTACTAGTAGTTGAAAAACACGATATTGTTAGTGTTACTACAGTGTGTTCGATTTTTTGTGTGAACCTACTGTTGTAAACATAGTTTAGTTAGGTCAGTAGTTCCCAAACTTTTTTCACTGATGACACCCTAATCCACTTACCTTGTTGTGTGCTTCACCCTTTCTCCCACATGCAATATTTTTTTTGTTGAGTTTTTTATGTTATTAATTTTTCTTTCTTTGGGGGAACTCTCACGAACTTTAAAACTTTCTGTGACACACTAGTGTGTGTATCAACACAAAGTTTGGAAACCATTGAGTTAAGTAAAAATGGGAAACCTATATAAAGCAATGAACTATAATTTATAAAGGGAAGTCTGGAGAGCCAAAATAAAAATATTCACACACTTCAGAAATATGAAAGAAGGCATTTTATGGCAATAATATGGCAGATAGAATATAGGTTAATAAATAAGTGGAAGTTTTGAATCAGAATAACAGTAAGACTTACTATCTAAATGCAGAATATTGTATCAGAAGTATGATATTGTAACATTTGGTGTTACATTGAGGTGTTCATCAGGAAGCAGTATTATGTTTTCCAAATACTAAACACTATGATGCTAGTTGAGTTGAAAACCTCATGATTTAGATTGGGTAATACAAATTGAGTAAACATTATATACAGTGTCACTTGCTTTATCACTGACCATCTACATTGATACTGGGCAGGATGTTTTTATCACAAAAGCCTCGAGTTAGCAAATGTTCCACACTTGTGTTCACAGAGAAAGAAAATCCACACTGTATTTAACACAAGACTTACTTCAAATAATTTTAATTGAATACTTTACCTTATGAAACCAATTTAGAATATACACATATGACAAATTTTTCCCATTTAATTAATGGTGCCATTAGATTTGTGATCTGTGATGTGCGACAGTGAACAAAGTGAGAATTAGTATTTTAAATTTGGTTTTTGAAGAATTACAGTACTGGAAATAAGTACATAAACATTAAAGAAAAATATTTATGGAAGGAATATACTGTGAGAATGCTACCCCTTTATTGTGTGAAAATGAAATGAATCAGAGCATATTCATAGATTTATAGTTTACATTCATTGTGATTGGCTGTCATTCAATTGATTGGAAAGTGTCATAATAGTATAAAATCTATAAGAATACAGATAATCATACTATATGCAAGAGTAGTAGTAGAAGTGTAATTCAGTCATGGCTTCCAAGAATGAAATATTGCATGGTAATGTATAGAAATCAAACTTTTGACTGGTCAAGTATACTCTATGTAAAAGATTGTATCAAGAATCTTTGTTTTAGTAGGAGCTGTATACAAGACTCTGAAGAGAGTGTGTGAAACTTTTTTTTTAGTAATATAAGTGGCCATGGTAGAAAAACAAAGTTCTAAATGTGATGATAAATATCTTGGAGAATTTTCTGTGCTGTATAGATGACAGTTGAGTACAGATCTCATCAATGACCTTTATGTAAATAAAGGCTAGAATGTTACCTTAAGAACAGTAAGATACAATTAATGTGTAGTTATTCAAGAACTAAGTTGAAATCAGACTACAAATAGTGGAATGAGCAAAACTGAAGACTTGTGCTCTTTAAAAAGAATTCAAGTTTGAATTGTTTTGTAAATCAATGACAGTTTGTTTGACAATGGAAAGGAGAACAATATTTTAGTTAATGTATAGCATATGTAGTGAAGCATGATTGGAGATCAGTAGAAGTTTGGCTGACAAATGATTAGTACTGCCAGACTATCATGCCATTCCCTCAGGAGCATGATTCATCTTCCAGCAAGATAAATATATAGCAAATGTGATGGTGAGATTTGTAGCTTATGTAAGAACTAAGAAGGTCAAAAGGTGAACACATGACTTGGTTAAATTGTAGGGAGTACAACTTGACAATTGGAACAAAATTCCACAGTTGCATGTTGATATACTATATGTCACCATGAAAACAATGTGTAATACTTTGTGTACAACAGAGAGCTGATGTACACAGTACTAGTGCATTGTACAACATATAAATTTTGGAATATTTTCTGTGGTAATGTTTTGTTACATTAGTAAATTCACTACTTAGTTGCCATTAGTCATTCTTTGTGACTCCATTAAGTTTATTGCTTATGTTTTTTATTATTATTTTCATCATTGGATATCTCAAAACTTTAAACAGACTTAAAAATTATGATGTACAAATGAATATTTAAATTTTGAAATATATCTTCTAATATCCATATTTCTGTCCAGTAAAGATATAATCTGCACATATTTTTTGTATGTGTATATGCCCTGGTGACAGAAGCACTGTACTTATAGCATCACAGTTAAAAATTGGTATTGCAATGGGATGACTGGACCTCTCACAAGTGGTTTGTAATCTGTATTGCTAATGAACTAGGCAAGTTTTTTTAAAAATAATTTTGATGATAAACTTAGGGAAAGTTATCTTAATGATAATACTACATCCAGTGCTGTAGCTCGTTGTAGTAACATCAATGGGAATGTATACAGATAACTGAAAAAATACGTATTTCTTTTTTTTTTCCACTATAGTGAGATGTGTTGGATTTTTCACCTCAATTGTTTATTTATTCCAGTCATCCTTTTTTTTTTTATATCTTCAGTCTGACAAAACATAAAAGTTTCAGTTCTCTTAAGTTATTGTTAATTTCTTTCATGATTGCTCTGTTGAACTCTTTAACATGTACAAATACACTTGAGAAAGAAAGATTGCTTCAGTATGTTGAGGAATTTTATAAATGTTTTCTGAGACTTTTCATTTTTTTTTATAGTGGTTAACAGACAGAAAGAAGAGGCTCTTGCAGAACAAAGATGTTGGTAAAAGAAAACTTGTCTGAAGTTAATTTTATTACAATACTTAGCTGTGTTACAATAATTAACATACTTAATTCTTGGTGTTTGTATTTACAAATTTTCCTACATCTATGGGTAAATACCTTCACAGAATGTAATATTTTTGGTGTGTTACTTTATTGCATAAATACTGCATGTTTATTTTTTATAGAAATTTAATCTAAATGCGGTAGAAATCTTTTATTTTCTACAACAGAATAGTGAGGCCTATTTATTTGGGATGCTAGGTCCTGAAAATAGAACAGGGATTTCATTAAAAACAAAATTGTTAATAAATTTATAGAAATAATCCAAAATGCTTATTGAAATGTTTTAAAAAGTACAGAAATGTTTATCAGAGAGTCAATAGGTTTTGCTCAGAAATCTTGCCCATAAACACTTATTTATATAGTCATGCCAGGTTGTTCACATATTAGAACAAAAAAAGCTCCAGACATCACTTCAGTTTTGCATAATTTATATTCATGAAGGAGCATCCAACAGATATTGAAGGATGATTGGATAACACTTGTTCGCTCTAGTTGCATTTCTCTGCATTTATTTCCAGCTGAACAATTGGTAATGTCATACTGAACCTGTACTTTTACTTCTAATTTTGTGACTGGTCAGAATTAGGATTCTTATTTACATAAATATAGTTTTGCATCATATAAGATTCCTTTTAAGGTATAATATTCAATGATAGGCTTATCCAGGTGAATCTTTATTTGTATTAACTCTTTCAAGACAGGTCATGGGTGAAAGGCCATGTCATCTTGTTTGTTGACTAGCATTCAAAATTTTATTGTACTACAATTTCATGAATTTATGTCAGTAAGTTAGGTATCAAACTGTAGATTATAATACAAATTTTAGTACTATGTATTACTCAGTTTCTTAATGTAAAAGCAAATATTAAAAAACTCAGATAAACATCGATTTTTGTGTGTCACATGGTATGTTGAATGCAGCACTGGTTCAAATTAGATGTTTGTGAAGTCAGAATACTAAGTCTATAGTTTCAAACGAATTAGAAACTCAAATTACCAATATTGACAAGCTAAAATATAAAATAAGAGCCTCTTATCTTTTCAATATGCTAAGATATTGCTCATGCAATAAATCAAACACTGTGGCACCCCCACCCACCTCCTTCCATTTTTGAAAATGCTCCCTTATATACACTTAAGTGTCTCATATATATTATATGTGATTCAAATTATATTAACCTAAGTGCTTTATTTTTCACTTATTATAATTAAGGTAATTTACCATATATATGTTGAACTTGCCAGTTGATCCAAGTCATTCTGTAATACCTCATTATTGTGATTGGCAAACTACTGATTTACAAATTCTGCTCCTATTAATATCATTAATGTAAGTAAGAACAATCAGAAGCCCAAAAACTGACCTCTGAGAACAAGGGTCTAGCTTGACTAGATTACCTTAAGAATAACAGTGTTGCTATCTGTCATCCAACCACTGCAGTCCAGTAAGCTAGTCTTTCCCCAGCTCTTACTGATGTGATTTTCTTAGCCAATCTTTTATGTGGCCTCTTAGGAAAAACTTTTTAAAAATATTAAGTATACCAAGATCTTGCACTTTCCATCATCCAGATAACAAATCTGTTAGAACAATTAAATTGTCTTAATTTTAGACTAGCGGTGATTGTTTAGGATTTTGTCCTCACACAGTTAAACAATACATGTAACTTTTATGAGCATCCTGCATATTTAAGTGACAGTTGGTAATGCATTATTTGTAAGAATTGTTATCTGTGATGAGTTGTAAGATTTACTTTGATGTTTAATTTTTCACAGCTTTTGTTTTTATTGGAACGTCTATTTAGTTACTTGTTTTGAAACCAATGTTGAAGTAATGGGCTCAGCACTATGTTTGTACATGTAGTCATTATTTTTATTTCATTATTTGTTTTCAAATTTCATTAGAGGCGCTGGTCAGCGATGGTCACATTCAAGTGAAACTGTCAGTTAAGCTTATTATTATAAGGAAAAGGAAAACTCACTATAAAACTGTTGTAGGATCTGAAAAATATTATTCAATATGTTTTATATTTGCATGTTTTACTGCAGTTTATAATAGTCAAGTTATTAACTTGTTTTGAAGGATCATCCTTTGATTGAGCTGATGGTAAAAGATTGTGAGGATTTTTTCAACTTTTCTGAATATATTTTGAGCCACTTTATTTGTGTAAACTAAGAAGATAAAGAGGTGGAGTTCTTTTTTCATTATTGGACCCTGTTCAGTTTCACACTGATGAGCCTTGAATAGATGAAACTGTGGTCCACGGCAGAGGGTACAGCAATTCAAAGAATATAATAGGCCTTTACATCACAGATTATATTTTCCATTTTACCTTTATCATCATTTTCTAGACTTGTTATTCCAGACAATTCAGTATTTGTGTGTGTGTTTATAAGCATGTTTATGGTAGAGGTGTTAATAGTTTAGAGTTTGGATATTTAAACATCAACAAGTATCAAACATTTTGAATTTTGCATAAGCTATTAAATGTTAAAAATGTACGAGTGAAGCATTAAAACTAGGGGCTACTCAGAGGTTCTTTCATATTTCTTTTGAAATGTAACATTACTGGCAGATAGCGAGTATGCTGCTTATCAGTTTTGTACAAGTTCCTTAAATTACTATAATTACTGTAAATACAGTATAGAAATAATGTGAAAACATATCAAAATGAAGTATCCTACTGGATATAATGCAAAGAAGAGGGAACTTAGACAAACAATGTACAAATATATGTTAGGAGTGTAAGTGTATTGTTTATTTTGTATGACACCCCTTCCTCTGATTATTTAGTTCTCCCTCTTTCTCCTGATATTGGGGTCCATGCTAATTGTTTTATTGATGGGCTGTGTTCAGGAGTCAGCATGCTTTTGCCTGTGTATTACACTCTCACAGTCTGTGGTTTCATCATTATATGGATGACTGGTTGATTTTAGCTCATTTGTTATAAGTTTCATATGTCCAAACATAGTTTCTTTTCAAAGAAGCTGCTTGTTTAGGTTGGCCTATCAAGGTGGAGAAGTCTGTTCTCATACTGACCCAATACTGCATCCACTTCAGTTTTTTTCAACTCCTATCTTAGTCAGGCTCAGCCTTCTTCATTACCTACTCACAAGTTTCTATCTATTTTGGGGATTTGGACTTCCATGGAATCCCTTATTCCCCTGTGTCATGCTAACATGAAAACACTCCAATGGAATTTGCAAGATCAATTAAATCTTGCAGGGATCCCTGGATTCTCCTACCCTTCTTCCTCCCTCCCTTCAAGTCAATTTCAATGATGTTTCTCTGATGGGTTGGGAGTATATTTGGACTCTTATGAGGTCTCTGGTCAATTCAAGATCCCACTTCAATCTTCTGAAACTCCTGGCAGTTCATTGGGCTTTGGATAATTTTTTTCCAGTTTTGTAGGGCAAGTCAGTCCTGGTCCATTCTAACAATTTGACTGTTGTCTCTTACGTCAATCGACAAGGAGCACCTGTTCACATTCCATTTGTTCTCAAACATTAAATCTTTTCTGGGCCCATACTCAACATGTTTGCCTCTTGGCTTGTCATGTCCTGGGTGCTCTTAATCTTGTTGTGGATTGTGTATCTTGTCCCAATCAATCCTTTGTTTTGGTTCCTGGTTCCACATCCTTTGGCTTTGACAGTCGATGCCTGCAGTCAAGATTTGACCAACCTTTACCTTTATGCTTACCCTCCTTTCTTTCTTCTTCCCTGGATTTTGTCCATAATTCAAACCACTCCATGTCAGGTCAGTCTTATTGCCCCATTCTGGCCTACTCAGGCATGGTTCTCATTACTTCTGCTACTTCACTTGTCACCTCCTTTACCTCATCCGCTATCCACATCCCTCCATTGCCAACCTCATGTCTGTATTTCATGCTGCCATTCCCACACTCTGGCTTCATGTGTGATTTTGTTTGGTCCCTTGCAAGCTGGCCCAAACTCTCCACATATGTAATGTCCCTTATTTCCAATCTAGTCCACCCTTTTTCCTTGTTCATTTATCAGAGGAAATGGCAAATCTTTGACATTGGTCTCTAGGATGAGGTTTCCTTCCAAAACATACATACCTCTGCTGTTAATTATAGCTATTTCTTGATCTTCTGTTGTTCTTTGCTATCTAAACATTGTGTTCACTTGCTCCAGTCTCTTATACCCCACTTGACTGCTCTCAGCAATATCTAATTTGCAAAACTTTACACTGGCCCTCACGTGCCCTCTATGCAGGTACTGTATATAAGCACTGTATGCAGACAATATAATAACTTTTTCTCAACAATGCGCGAGTGCAAAGAGTCACATTTTGTGGCTCATATTTTCATTTATAAAATTTTGAAGGTAGTCTGATGTTCTTTTTGTTTTTTTCCCTATTGCTGATGTTTCATTGGTTTTCTTCTGTGGTTAAAAAAATTATTTTGAAGCTATGAGTTCCCGTGTAACAGTTTCTGACACGGAGGCTACCCAGACCTTGTCCATTCCTCCTTTGTTGTCTGGTGGTAGTGAGCAATTTCACTCTCAGTGGAGGCTGTCCGTGACCTGATTTGGGGCGAGATGGAGTCCTTCATGCGGCCTGGAGGTGTATCCCCTAGGGGGTTCAGAGTTGGCTTTTCATCATGAACTTGAATATACTGGGGAGAATTTAGACATTCTGTTTCCTGCTCCTTCTTTCAATAGGGCTTTTGGGTATTATATAACCAACATGGCTTCCTCCTTTTTCCCGACTCTTTATACCCTGGAATCCTTCTTCCTCCTGTGATCTTTCCCTGATTAAACTTACAGGTTGGATTTACCAACTTATCTATTTGGCTTATTCTTCATTGTTCTTCGATTCTTGTAGTCTTTTTCCAGGGCTCCTATCCCCAGATCTGCCAACTCATCATGTCTCTGGCTGCTCATTTCTGATATCTGTTGTAGGAGATCATCCATTTTTGTTTTTTTTTAATTTAAAATAAAGTGATATCACATGCATATTCGCTTGTTTTTGACATCAGTGCTATGAAAAACATCTTACTCAAAAGAATTTTAACTTTTAAATGAAGAAACATCAATTCTGTAACAAACCTATGGTATTAGAACTGTAGATGTAGTACACAATACTACACATTATTAGGGTGTCTGGAAAAAAGTTAAGGAATTAAAACTTGCCAGGCAATGTTTATTTGATGTTCATATTGTTGTATTAGCATAGAAATAATCAGTTATTGGCTGAGGCTTTAACTGGATTGCTGTATACTTTGGCTGTCTTGATTTCAGAAAACCTCAAAAAAGCTTTTATGATAATCAATAGCCCATATAATTTGTCTTTTTGATACTTTATGGTAGTTTAAAGACATATAGTTGTTTTTATTCATTACTGAAAAAAAGAGGTTCAGACCCTGTAGGTGGTGTGCACTTGCTTATACAGTATTAAAAATATTAATTAATTCCTGAAAGAAAAAAATGAGAGAGAGTTTGGACCTCCCCTTTCCTAGATCCATGCAAAAGTGGAGGGGTGCAGACCAGTAACCTTCCCTAGATCCATGTCTTCCTGTGTAGCAGTAAATAATAATTATTAATTTGTGGGAAAAAATGAGTGGAGGTGGCTGTTTATACAACATTAAAGAACATAGTTATGCAGTTATAAATTAGAAACATAACACAATGTAAAAAATCAGTAAATTTAAACTTTATTTAACACTTAAGTTGCCAGAGAGTTGGCAGTGGGTGCTGTCAGCCAGTTGTGTTCCCTCTAGTCAACAATTGAAGATTAGTAACAGTGGCAGATAGCCTTGGTAGCTTTTCAATAATAAATATTGTGAGCCAGTTTAGTGGCAATGGTAATCAAACCACAGAACCTCAAGTCATAAGGCACCCATTATTATGTAGCTTGGTAACGGCAATATTTCGAATAGTTGGATAGTTGGAATAATCCAAAACAGTATATAATCAGGTGTTAAGTCATTGCAAAATTACAATTTTTGTTGGTTGAATTGGTGTTTAAAGTTGTATTTTTTAGCTTTCTATGAATTTTTAGACATATGTATAACCCCACTGCTTTAGGCTATTGTGTAAATGAAATATGTGTATGTGTGTATATATATTATGCATCATAAATGAGAACCACTCTATTTATTAGACATTCGCCGTAGAATTGAACTCATCCAAGATTTTGAAATGCCTGGTGTTAGCACTTCTGTCAGAGTATCAGGTGATGGACAATATGTACTTGCTACAGGTAAGGAAGTACAGCCTTCTAGGATCATGTGTAATTATTTTTCTTAGTACATATGAAACTTTCTTACATATTCCCATTGTTTCTAGTGAAAATTTTATAAATTGTAGATTATAAATTTAAAAAGTGTAACATGACTCTGTAAATCTAACATCATGTGAACGAAATATTTGAAACCATCTTCAATGTATATAATGATTGTGTTTTAAAGATTTTAACTTTGATTTCTTACTTTATAGGGGTTTATAAACCAAGGGTGAGGTGTTATGATGTCAATCAGCTGTCCATGAAATTTGAGAGATGTTTTGACTCAGAAGTTGTATCATTTGAAATCCTTTCGGATGATTATTCAAAGGTTATATATTTGACAACTTAAACTTACATGCATTTCTGTATTTGCTGTACTTTTGGATTCAATTTACAGTATCTTTTGGAGCTCATGTGTGCCTTGGAAAGATTAACAGTATAAAAGTTGAGAAATCATTTATTGCTGATTTTGGAAATTTTATTTTTGGTATTGATTTACTAATTAAGTTTCTAAATTTTTTTTATACAGAATTCCGATATGGTACATCACCTTATTTCACATAAATAGCTATTCTCATTCAGTGCTGCCCTCTATAGGCAAAAAAAAATGCATGCCACACGCCTTTTATCTCCCCTCCATTGGAATTGACTGATTCCAATGCAAATCATCATGCATCAACCCTCCACCAATAAGAGTGTGACATGCTCTCATGATGTATGTGAATCCCACTATTCAATTCTACCGAACTATCACTTCTCATTTGGCAGTACTCCATGTTCAGTCCTTCTGATAGCTCCTTCCTGGTCGTCTCAGCTGTGGTTTCCACGGCTTCTCTAGCTGAAACTTCCTCCTTCATTACCTTTTCCTCTGACTACATCCCTTCTTCATCATCCTTAGTCACCAGTATTTCATCTGGACCTTCCTGTCCTCTGTCTTCACACCTAGTTTTCCTCCAGTCATTGGCAAGGAGATTGTTTCTCCTGACAGTTTAGCTTCTTTTCTGGCTTGTTTCATTTGCCCTTTCTCCATGAAAGTTTCTCAACTGAAATGGAACGTTTTCCCTCCTTGTTTTTTGGTCCAGGGTTTCCCCTGATCAACCCATTTTTCCTTGTCATGCAGATTTCCTCACTTGACTTTTAGATCAAGGGTCATCTGTCTCTTTGATCTCGGATTTTTGGGAGGTCCTGTCCCACACCCTTCATTTTTCCAAATACTGCAGGTATTTACCTCTCTTGCACTTTACCTGTTGAGGTGTTCCTTCTGGATTCATCATCTGCTGCAGCAGGCTGCCCTTCCGGATGGGGATATTAATATGGTCCTGCACTGCCTCACTTTGCCTATGTTTGAACCACTCTCCCTGTGATCCTTGTTTCACTTTTTCTTACATCTTCCTTCTTTCTCCTATTTGCCTGTGTACATCAGTGGTCTGTTTATTTGCTATAGATGTTTCACCTACTCTTTATTTTTCTATATATCTTATCCTTTCTCTGGATCATTTTTTCCTCCCTAATTCTTTGGCGGCTATTGTGGATAACTCCTCCGTTTGACGCTTTTCCTTCATTTCGATTCTCACTTTTATCCTCAGCCTGATCTGGATAGAGTTCTATGTCCTGTACATGCTCTTTTCTGTTATATTGCCCACACAGCTTCCTTCAGTGCCCATTCCTGCCTCTTTCTTCCTTGGCAACTGTCCTCTGGTCATGACTTTTCTTGTTCCACTTTCATCAGTTTGGTTCGGCTCTTAATTTGATTGGCTTATTAGTCTTTATCGTCTTCTTCCCGTACTTTGTTTCGGATGTCTTCTCATCCAATGCAACACCTTACCTTTTCATTGGTGTTTCATCTTTGTCTCTCACTATTTGCATTGGATCGCAGTTTCGTCCTATATGGGCCGTTGTGCCTGTAACCATTTTTAAAATTCAGTGAGACTTTGACTGGGTGAGTTATCTTTTCTTTTCAGGGGCTTTCTTCCCATTTTACTAATGCTCCATGTTTGGATCCCCTTCTGTTGCGAGTGGTACCTGCCCAAGTATTTTTTAATACATCAAATCCACACTTGTCATTTTCAGCTCATAAACCTTTGTGCGTTGGTCTACTTTTAATTGAAATATTTGTTGTCAGCTCACACACTCCAAGCTCTGTGTAATAATAGACATTTTTTGAGATATAATCAAGTGTGTATATATGCATGTCGTAGAGTACTATTAAAGAAATTTTAAGTTAATTGGCAAAGAAAAAGGGATACAGTAACAGCTACATGCTAATCATCTGTATACTCAAATTGTTTGTTAGTCAGGACTCATTTTATCTGATCTTAAAGGTTCTTCTTTTTTTTAAATTATAGGTTGAGTATAATAATTATTAACCTATTACAATTTTTAACTGTATAATATGTTGCTGTAAATAATACTAATTTTTTATTACATGTTTTAGACTAGTTCAGTAAAGAAGCTCAGGCCTTTGTATATCACGAAGTATGTACATATTTGAACTAAAACCTTTTTTGGAATATACTTTTTTAATAACCTTTAACATTTACATCAGGAGAAAGCTCAGTCAACTTATTAAATTTAACTGATTCAATATATTTTCCACAGCTGGTATTTCTTCAGTGTGATCGTTACATCGAGTTTCATGCAGCATATGGACGCTACCACAGGATAAGGATACCAAAATTTGGAAGAGATATGGCTTATCATTATGCATCCTGTGACCTGTATTGTGTTGGAGCCAGGTACAGTATGATGTATTTTACCTTTGATCCAACCATTAAATCACAAACAGAGGCAGTACAGCTTACATTATGATACAGCATAATGAAGCGGTACATTGTGGTTGGGTTTGAGCCTACAAATTTCGAACACTTCTTTTATATCATTTTATATAATTTATATCAAAGCAAATCTTTGAATTGCACATTTGATGAGTTACACATTAGAGGCCAACTAGGCTTTCTTATGACTTAAATGATGATTAGATAAATAAATTTCAAGTATGAATAAAGACATTTTACCATTTTATGCCATCTGACAGAAGCTGTGTTTCCTGCTTTTATAATTTATTTTGGAAGCTATGTTCTGACCATCTGTCGTTCAATTCTAGATCTGTTGATATGTCTTGTATTTACAGGTTTATAAATAAAGTTCTAAATTTCCTACAATTTCAAATTACTAAAACTTAATTGGTTTCTAGATTTTTTTTCAATTGAAAAAAACAAACTAAAAATCTATTAGATTACATTTTTAATGTTGTTGAACAGTATTTTTGTTTTGCCAACTTTCAGTCCATTTCAACTTTGGGAAGCCCTTGAATTTGTACTGGTTTTAATTGATTATATGTATCATTTTACAGTTTATTTGTTGGTCAGTACTGGTATTGATTTTATGCCAACCATCTGTATGGAAAAAGAAGCTTCATAGAATGTTTGCTTGGGCAAAATACTTTATTAAAAATAAAGAAATTAATTGCTCAATTTTTTCAGTTTTATATTGGTACAATACATTTCTAAACATTTTAGCCAGAAACTGCTAAGTTGATCTTTAAGACCCAGCTGTGAATGTGAAAGTAATATTGATTATAATATTAATAGTGTCATAAATAAAATATTCCGAAAGAGCTGTTTGTTATAATGTCAAGTAATTTTGAAACCACCATATTGCTTTGTCTTTCCTAAGTGTGATATTTCAAGGAATTTATTTTTATTTAGAACAAAAAGAGCTTAGGTTAACCTGTTTCATATTTACTGTTTTTTTGTTTTTTTACAGTTATTTATAATATATCTCAATGTAGATAAGAAATGGCTTTCAGTTTAAAAAATCAATCATCTTGTAAAACTCATGACTTCTGTCAATTAAAATCACTAATATATAGGGACAGTGTTCAGAAATTAATTCATATTGTAACTGGCATTGTCTTTGTAATTTCTTCATTGCGAAGAGAGATGGTAACGAGTTTGTAGTTATAATTTTAATGAGATTCAGGAAGATTGAGTATAATAATTGTAACTCATTTAGCAATGTTGAGAGCAGCATTTTACAATAATTTCATCATTGTAGTTTTATAGAAAACCACGCGTAGTTACAAAAGGCTTCTACAAATTAGTGCTCTTATTGAAAAAAGACTAACTTTAGGTTATATAAAAGTGTATTTGAATTGTGGGATGCATATCCTTTCATTTTAGTTCTGAAGTTTATCGAATCAACTTGGAACAAGGAAGGTTTTTAAACTCGTTTCAGACTGATGCAAAGTAAGTGGTATTCACTGGATAATAGGGAGTACAGTAAGTTAAGGTTTTAATATTTTTAAAGTTAACAATCTTATTGAATGTCTACAGTGTCGACACAACTTGAATGATTTTGGATTGAAGTGAATGGTGTGAAGGGTTATCAAATATTGGTAACGGATTTGAGTTGAAGTTTTCTTGTTACATCTTGGGAGAGCCTGGATCAAGTAAACCACTAAAAATCTTTGTGTTTGTGTAAGAAATATAATTATCCAGAATTGACAATTTTTCCAAATTGTTAAGACAGTTACAATTGCATATACATAATGTGTGTTTTCCAAAATGTTTAAAAATTTAATCCAGAAATGAAGATGTTTTTCACACACTTATCTGCATGTTCAAAGTAAATGCTGCTTACTCGAAAAAATAAGTTTTCAGATCAATAAATTTCTTATTTTTCCCAAATAATTTAATTTGTTTTAATCTATATTATTTTTGAAGTTTAATGTTTTAAAAATTATTGTAAAATAAACACGCAATTAGAAATTTGTGTTATGCATTTGGGTGTAGTTTAGTTTGTTACTTAAGATATCAAGCATAATCACTGTATGTACATTTCTAAAATTATTTAATGTGGCACTTGACATTTTCTTGCAGCTCTCTCAGTGTGTGTAAAATAAACCCTGTTCATCATCTGTTTGTCTGTGGTACTAATGAGGTGAGAGATGGAGGCATTTAAATTAATACTTCTATAATTGTATAGTTATTGAACTCTAGTGGATGTTACTGAATTTTATTTCTAATTTTATTTAAAGGTAAAAAAAAAAGAAAGATTATATGTGATGTTATGCCAGTAAATAGAATTAAATATATACATATATGCAAGTCTTTGTATTTTTCTGTTATCAAATAATGAACTCGGGCATAGCTCCTTAGTTCTAGTTTTTGATATTGAAGTATTGTGGTCTAGTTTTTTCATTTATTGGTTTATTAGCTATATCATGCTACATTTTAAAAGTTTTTGCTCTACACTTGTCCAATTAATTTTAGTTTACCTCTCTTGCTATGGGCTCAGTCAATTCGACCTAAAAATTATCACCAAATTGACTTTTTAGAGTTTCCATACTATAACTTCTAATATGTTTGTGTATCTTCACGAAATTTCACAAGCTTTCAGTAAGCATTAAGAGACATTTGTAGACAAAAACCAGAATTTGTAATGAAGTATTTCACTAAAAATTTCTCTGAATATATGAAATCAGTGTATTGACTGCTCCAAGTGCAAAGTGATTTTCATGTTAAGATTAAATATACTTTTCTTCATTTGAAAATTCTCAAATTATATTTGTGTAATCTCTAGAACACCTAAATGAATTTCAAACTCTTTTTTTTTTCAGTAAAATTTTGTATTTGTTCTGTTATTTACTCTAACCTAACATCATACGAGATTGGTCAATTTGACGGCCTTGTAACCACTGTAAAAAAAAAAGTCTAAATTACCACTTTTTTCTTACTAGATTGATATCACATTGTAACATGAAACAACATTTGTTTATTCTCAGTAGCTTTAAACTTGTAACAATATACATTTGTTTCTACTTAAATTTTAATGTTTTATTATCCTTTGAACTGTGTCTAACTAATATTCCTGCCACACAAGTTGAAAATCACTTGGCAAACATGCAGCTCATCTTACCCTATCGAATTATGTAAAGCATGGGCTACTTGCGAGTGTGCCACTTGAAAATGTTTTATCATTATTATTCTTTATTTGACCTAATCTCACCTAAAAAGTTTCTAATTTTTGCATTTTACTTTTATGATAATAGATAAAGAATACACGGGAAAGACAAGAAATATAGTACTTACCTGGGTCATTGTCTTTTTTTTTTTTTTGCTGTCAACTGTTGATGAAATTTAACCCTATATTTTTGTATCTATGGTGCTAGTGCAATAAATATTTTTTTATTTAATCAAATAATGCACCTAAAAATAGAATAATAATAACATGTAAAAAGTGGACAATATCCTATAACTACCATAATTTTTCTGACTTTCTAACTATGCAAAAGAGCTGTTAAAAAATAATCTAAGCTCATCGATGTGTTTCCCATGAGAATAAAGTTTGAACACAATATAATTTGTCATTTGATAGATTAAAACTTTGGCTTTCTGTTGGTTGTAAGTAATTTAGTATTAAACATCAGAAAGAATTATTGGCAGTTTGTGAAAGAGAGGATGTAACAGGTGAGGGGTCTGATTTCTTAGTTATTTAGCTCTGTATCCAAATAAGATTGAAGACTATAAAAGTTATGCTTCTGATACAATTACTTACCTATGATCAAAGTTACAGCTTTTCTCCACTTCACTGCTCCCTAGTGTGCAAATTTTCACTTGCCACTAGCCTTGAACTCCCACATAATTCCATGTGTATACCTGGTGGTTCAGCTGTGACACACCCTTGTATCACATCTTTCTATGCAGTTGGACCCAATCATCACTTCTCGATCTCGCATGACAGTGTTAAGATCTAGTGCTTAATTTCCAACTTTTTTTTTCTTTCTTTAGTGCGTTTTGGAAATATTCAGTTACTGATTTTTGTATTTCAAAGTATTGTTTATAAACCACTATCGAGTTGGATTTCTTTATTTGATTGTGAATTGTATATCTTTCTCAATTACTGGTAGTCAGTCAATATTTTTCAATTCACAATTTACTATTGTGACTACAATGGCTACTGACGGTACTGGCATTCAACAGCCCATGATAATGGCTGCTGGTAAGGCATTATTGGCGAAGGAAGTGTTGGCCATAGTTTGTTGGGAGATGGCTTCTTTCATGCGAGCCAAAGGATCTCTTGATCTACAAGCAATTCTGCCATTGCCTATGGACTTCAGTCAGGATGATGTGGACTTTGACAGGTTACTCCCCCCATTTCTTTGCTATGCAGGCACATTCTCAGCCTGTTGAAGCATCTAGAATTCAGTCATTATTTTTAGTCTTGATATCACGGGTATGTTGTGTTTTGTCTTTGTCACGTGTCATTTGATTACTCCCCTTTCTTATTAACTGCAGCACCTAGTTCTAAGTTTTGATTTCCCTCTTCACCTAATATTGGGTTCCATGCTGAATGTCTTCCATAACAATTACATGCAGGAATTAGTATGCCGTGCTCCCACATACTGCAGTAGCTCATGCACTTGCATATCATCATTCGGCAAATCCTTTCTCATTGGATAACAATGGATTCACTTTTTCAACCTTGTGTTCAGACCCCAATACGTCAGGGTGTTTTTCTCAAGCATAATTTGCTTGCCTCCATTTCTCAACACTGCTTCGTTTTTTTGGCAGAAGCCTGTAACCTCCAACTCGCCAAGTTGTCCAGATTGTCTTCATCTGCCTATTTTTCCTTCTGTGTTAGAATCTCTTGGATTGGGATGCTGTGTTGACACTCATATCTCCACCCTGACTTTTTTTAGCAAGATCTTTGACCTGCCTCTTTTCTGAGATCTACAATCTTTGGTGGGCTTTCAGATACTTTGGAGTCTTGTGTTAAATCTGCCAAATTACACACTTCCCTATCTTCCCATACTTCCTGTTTCCAATCTTCTTCCTTCCTGGACCACGTCTACATGTTGCACCATTGTTCACCTATGCTTTGTATGATGTCAGCATTGCCAATGACTACCCAGTGGGATCCAGGCTCACTCATTTCTCAGAAATGTGGGAGACTTGTATCACCTTTTGGGTCATTCGAGTTTTGTCAGAAGGACTCCTTTTCCTCACACCTCCTGCCAGTGTCTCACAGAAGCAGTTCAAGTCCTTCTCATCGAGGGTGCCATCAGACAGGTTTCCTTCTGTGCTTCCAGGGTTCTTTTCCTGACTTTTTGTGATCTGAATTGCTTCCTTGACATGCCTCAGTTCATCATGGAATTGTAACTGCCTCTCAGATGAACCTTTCTTCTAGGGCTTTGGATGACGAGTTTCAATGCTTATTTTCACATCCCTATTGCTGAAGCTTCAAGTCATTTTCTTTGTTTCATCCATGGGGATCATGTTTATCAATTCCATCATTTTATAGATGATTAGCTCCTTCTGGTTCCATCCTTCGTAGAGTCTTCATCACAAACCCAACTTCTCAGAGAAGTTGATCAGGTGGGTTGGTTTATCAAGGTTTAGAAGTCTGCTACCCACCCCACTCAATACCTTATTCATCTAGGGAGGTTTTTCAACTCGCATCTCAGTAAAGCCCTGCGTTCTCCTCTTCGTCTGTGATCCATTGAGTTTTTAGTTCAGAGGGCATTATCAGCACCTTATCTCCCTGTGCGAGAGATTGTCTCATTTGGGGACTTGGGTATCACTGGAGGCACTTATCCCTCTGGGCCATGCCTGCAAGTGTTCCTTGAAATGGGTACTACAAGTTTATTTGGCACCTCATCAATAACCCCTGGATTTACAGATATCCCTTCCCCTTCAGCCCGACTTCCTCTCGTGATTAAACAGGGACACTATGACAGTGGGGGTACCTATTTCTTCTACTCATCTGAATAGCCATGTCTTCACAGATGCCTTGTTGTCAGGATGGAGTGCGTGCTGCATTACACAGGAGATTTCAGGCTGTTAATCTAAGGTAGAGTTAGGTCTTCACATCAACCTTTTGGTACTCCTTGCTGTTCTTTGGTTCATTTTCTGTCATCTCTGATGAGCAAAGCAGTTATGACTCATTCCGTCAACTTGATGGTTGTCTCTTACATCACCAGTCAAGGGGGCACTTGATCCCAGTCCTTATGTTCTGCACTTTAGATCTCTGCTTCTGGGCTCATAGTCATCAAATTTGTTTGCTGGCTTGTCACATACCAAGTGCCCTCAATCTTTTCATGGATCTTTAGTTCCCTCTTGACAAGATTCTACTTGTGGAGTGGTCTCTCGACCCCAGGTATTCCAATGGCTATGTTTTCAGTTGGATACTCCCCAGCTAGCTTCCTCTCTTTTAGTCCTCAGTTCCACATCCTTTGGCTTTGGCCATGGATGCATTCAGCCATAATTGGAAGGACCTTTCCTTCATGCATACCCTAGCATCAGTTTTTCTACCCTGAGTAATTTCACTCATCCAGTCCACTCCATGTTAGGTCCTTCTTGTGGCTCCTTTCTGTTCACCTCAACTGTGGTTTCTGTCCCTTCTCCGGGAACAACCTTTACTACCTCTCCCGGATCCTCCTATGGCAACTTTACTCAGTGGTGCTTCATCCTTCTGTTCCCACACTCTGGCTTCATGCATAGCATGTGTTTGGTTCCATGCAAGGGGTTTGGGACTATCCAAACGTGTAGCATCCCCATTGTCTCACACTGTCCTCATTCATGTCTGTGTATCAATGTAAGTGGAGAATATTGCATAGTTAGTCTAGCTGGTATGGATTTTACCATTTCTCTCCTTCCCTTCCTCAGATATCTGTTCTTACATGGTTGTTTGACAAGAGTCTGTCTGTTTCAAACATTGCAGACCATAGGATGGCCCTGTCATATCTATTCAATTTTTTTCTGTTTTTTGCCATGTATTTTACTTTCCAGTTATTTCCCTTCTATATTTACTCCCATTCTGATCCGGATTGTCTCCTGTGTCCAGTCCATGCTTTACAGTGTTGTGTTGTGCACAGCACCATTCCATGGCTCTCGCTCTCGTTTGTTTATCCATTGCTCATCTGGTTATCTCTATTGCTTATCCCCCCTCTCTCTCTCCTGGGTATTGTCACATCTGATCTGTCACCTCCCAATGTCCTTGACTGATGAAGATCATCCAGACTGGCTTGTAGACCACTCCCCACACCTTGGTGTGATGCTACTTGCACCATCTGGTGGTTTCCTGCTCAGCTGGATATCATCTTACTCCTGTAGCCATTCTCCATATGTTGGTACAACTCTGAGTGGGTAAGTTCTTTTTGTTTCTTTTTCAGTGGTCTGCTTCACATTTTATGGATTCCGCTTTGTAGCGAGTCATGCCTGTCCAGGTTTACTGATATCCAAAATACGTACTGTAAGATTTATAAGGTCTGTCACACTCACTGTTGACATGGGGTGTTGTGCAATACCATTTGTAGGTTTTTCCCTTGTTGCATATTGCATCATAAATATGTTCGTACTGGACTGTACATAAAGGACAAACATGAGTAAAGCAGAAAGAGATTGCTGCCCACATTTAATGTTCCTTAGATTGCTGGAATTGGGAACAGTCTGATTTTCAAAATAGGGTTTCATGGTTACCCATTAAACTTTCTTTGGTAATGAGTTTTTCAAGACTCTCCAACACATTTCTTCTCTCTTCTTCCAGTGAGTACAAGAGTCCTTACCACTTCCCAGCTCCTAGCCATTGGGGTGGTGGATCATGGAGGAATCCTCCTAAGTGTGTACAGTTCCTCTCAGTCAAGAGTAGGGTGGTGGTACTGTGCCTTTGTAGGTGTGATTATCCTGCTGCCACAGGTCTGATGTTTTGTTCCAGATGCTGCTGGTCTGGACTGGATTTTTCTGTCTATTTTGCATTTCTCCCCTCCAGCTGGAAACCCTCCATCCTACCACTGCCTGGATGTCTGTTCCTGGGCAACTAGTTTTGGTTAGAGCTAGACCAGCCAACATAAGTCCTCACATGTGAGTAGGTTGGGAACTTCCTCTTACCGTGGACTGGATATTACAATCTCCAGTTCTGATTGATTTTAGACTGGAATTGACCCTCCATGTTGCCTTTCCACCTTCCTGACATTGTCCAGATGTACATTCCTGGGATTTATTGCTGCAGATCATGTTGGATTTGTGCACATGTTGGTTTAGGTTCTCAGAATGGAGGCTTCTCTTCCCTTCTGGTTCCTACACCTGAGGTGAATGGTTTCCTGCCAATGGTCAGTTGAGTTCCTCCCATTGCTATTTGCCTAGACTGGAGTTGACCTCCCAATTATGGTCCAACATGCCCTATCCACTCTACACACATTCCTCATCCATTTGGATTTGGGATGGATCACTTGTTCTGCACATTGATTGCGACACAATACCAGTTGGCACCACTTGGACAAAGATGGTTCAGATGTGGAGTGGTCTCCCATGGATGTGTTTCCTCTATGTAGAGGTGGCACACTCCATGGATGCACTTCAGGTGCTTTTGAAGGATATTCATCTAGGTAATTTTACACCACTCTCTCCACCTACTTAGTGTGGGATTCTAGCTGTAACTGTGAGAAGAGGTAAGTAATCGTATCGGAAGTTAATATTTTCTTACATTGAAAATATATTTCCGATAGATACTTACCTTCATTGAAACTTCCCACCTGTCCTCTCCACTTCAGGTGTTATTTTTCGTGCCTTATCTTGAAGTGAAGATTGGGTTCAACTGCATAGAGGGGAATCAGCTGTGATAGGTGGGTGTGTCACACTCCTATTGGTGGAGGGTTGTTGCATGCTAATTTGAATGCTTAAATGCAGCTTAACCACATGGTATACATGTGGAATTCGATGGGAGTTCAAGGCTAGTGTCAAGTGAAACTTTGCACACTAGAGTGTTGTCAGATCAAGAATAGCTGTAACTGTGAGAGAGATAAGTATCTATCAGAAATATATATTTAGTGTAGAAAAATAGTAACTTTGCCTGAGTGAGTAATTTATGTTAAATTTCATATTTCTCAGAGGGGTGGTAAATAAATTAGAGAAGAGGGGATACCCAGAGAACAAATGTCACATTTCTTGTACTTTGGGAGATTGAGGATTTTTAAAAATATTGTCTTATAAAATTATGATCTTAAAACATCTATGATATTAAACTTTAGTTTATTAGCTAAGTTTTGATGGCAAGTTTATTCATATACCATGATAATAAAGTACTGTAATTAAATTTTGAATATAACTCTGTAACACCTCGCAACATGCACAGTAAAAGATGCCTGTAGTGAGAGGGTTAAGCTAATTTAATATGTTACTATTCCTATTAAGTTTTTAAAAATTCACCTAATACTTTTATTGCATATTTCTGAATGTGTTTTTCATTCAGATCTCTTGAAAAACTTATTTCAAGAAATGTGTATATGAAAATACTGTTCAGAAAACATTCTAATCCATCATAATTGCAGTATAAACAGAAATGCAGCTTGAGATGATGTTGATAAACACAAGTTTTTCGTTACTTTGATGCCTGATATTCCATTTTTTATATCAATGTTACAGCTTGTAAAATAATAAAATCATGTCTATCTACTTATTTTTCACCAATATATATAAAATTGTAATTAGTATTTATCCTATGTTTGGTAGTGTGACTAGTGTTTGAAGGAAGTTAACATTTAGGGTAAAGATTTTCATCCATGTTTATTAATCTGCAATCAGTGTCTCATAGTTTCTTTACTACACTTTAGTAGTTGTATTATGTAGTCCCTTTTATAATGAATGTAAATATTTTCTTAGCTCAGTCATAAAAAGTTACAACTCGAACTATTTTAAAGTTTATTTAACAGCAAGACATTACTTGTGAATTCTCTGATCTGTGTTTATATAGGCTATTAGCAAATGTATAAAGATTGGAAGTAAAAAAAACTAAACAAATTAAACTTGGCAGGAATTTAGTTTGAAGGAAGAGAAAGCAACATGATAGTTGCCTGCTTTTCCCAACAGGGGTGCTCGGGAATTGTTGTATCCCTTCAACCCTGCTCGTGAGATTAGTTTACTATAGTGGCCATAGTCGTGATTATAAACTATGACGAGGAGTTTTCTCAGTGCATTCAATATTTAGGAATTAGTTTTAAGTAGACTTTATTGAAATGAATTTTATAGAAATTATATGAATTGAAATGAGATTGGAACATTATTTAAGGAGTTATTCATTTGAATTTACTCAGGGTCGGGTAGAAGCATGGGATCCACGTTCACGACATCGTGTTGGAGTTTTAGATTGTGCACTCAGCAGTGTAACTGAGGAAACAGAGTAAGTAATATTTGAAAAATATTTAATTAAGTACAGTACCAAGAGTGATTGCAAGAGTTTGTGTCTATTGGAACTAAATTTGTCACACATTTAATCTTTCAAGTATTTTACATTTACTTTTTAAGTTTTGGTTTTATTTAAGTATGTCTGTTTATTTTGTTAGATGAAACATTTTAAGTTAAGGTTTAAAAATAAAGAGAAAGAAACTGTTGTTCAAGGTATTTTATTTGGGAGCTCATATATACCATAAATTATGTTTTGCATATGTATGCATTTATCTGTGCACGTACAAGTTTTTATCAGAAGTTGTATTAATGTAAAATAGTGCATATATTGCACAATATATTCTGGTTGTATGTAGAAATTGGCACATCTTGTGTAGCATGTATGTTTTGTATATATATTTTTGACATCATGTCTTGGCTGGGCATAATGGTAGGAGTTCTTACACTTCACATGACATAATCACTGTCAGTGGAAGTTTTTTGCTTTCTTTGTTGGTTTTTCTTGTGTATCTGACAATTAGAACAGAATGATCTAGAACAGAGTTCTACTTATTAAATATTAAAACAATTAGTGTTCCCAGTCTTCTGATTGGAATGTCAAAGTGGGTAACAAAAAGGAGTTCCAACTCTTTCAAAATCTCAGTTTAACCACTGCTTACAATATTATGTCTACACAGTAACTGAGTAATGAAGAAATCAGCTATAGGCCAGCTAAAATCTGAATAAGTCTCCTGAATCAGAATGAAATAGCAGCCTGTGTACACAGTTTTTGTCTTGTCATTGTGTGCATTTTTTAAAACCCTAGTATGACACCTTTATTCTAGATTGATGAATGTAATATATGTTAAATAAGAGTCTTGTGGTTAATAAACTATATATATATGCTTGTTTAACAATTGATAGTACTAAAATGCCCGGCATGGCCAGGTGGTTGGGGGGCTCAACTCGTTCTCTGCAGGTCGCCGTTTTGAATCCCCGTCACACCAAACATACTCACCCGGTGTCTGGACTAGGACGCCAGTCCTACTCTTGGATACACACCTCCAAAAGAATTTGGGGGTGTGAGAAACACCATACCCAACTACTAGTACTAAAATATAATCTATTTCCCTAGAGATTCCTGTAAATTGCAGATTAAAATTTGGATGTAAATTATAGTAGTAACCATATTTCATATGTTTTGGTTTGATCTTAAACTTGTTTGATTATGAACATACTTAATTAAATTGCTCTATAATGTCTATAGATTGAGTATTAAATAGAACATTGTTTTGAGAAAAGTAATGTTTATTTCAAATTGTGTATTGTTACATTAGTTTACTTAATAAAAAAAACAACACTTATATTTCAGTTTTGTTTTAAATTACCATGCTTTCGTTTTTAAACATTCTTTATTGTAATTTTTATAATAGTCAGAGAATGTTTTTGTTCTTTTTGAGACAGTAAATAGAAATTGTTTAAAGGAATGAGTAACTGATAGTTATTAATTTTAAATTTTAGAGAAAATATGCTTTCTTAATACCTTAAACTCATTGATGTGTCTAAACTTTTGTGTTACAGTGTAAATGGGATACCATCTGTGACTGCCTTATCTTTTAAAGATGGTCTGCAAATGGCAGTTGGTACAGCTACAGGACAGGTATATGTTTCATTTTTAAACATGTTTCTAAAGTATTGAAACAGATAGAAAAAAATTTTAGATAAAGTTGTTACACAGATTAACTCCTAGTTAATGAATTGACATTTATAATATTCTTTCTTGTGCAAATAATTTATAAGATGGATATTCCCGAATCTTTTATGTTTAATATTTTTAAGATAAGCACTAAAACTTGTCAATTTGTTTTCTTAAGGAGAATCTTCTTGGAATTTTTTTCTGCTGTTTGCTGCTTTAACTGTCAAAAATGTAAAATATGAGTCCTAGATCTATGTAAATCAGATAATGAAAACATGTTTTACTCTCACTGAGAATGGAAATAAAACATCATGATTGAAATTAAAAATCCTTACGAAGCCAGTTTCTCTAATTGTTTGAAATCAATAAATGTAAAAGTGATATTTAATAAATAAGAATTTGAATCGTAAGCATATTTTGCAGTCACCTACCATACTCACTAAACCTATCTAAAGCTTTACCTAATGTCTTCTTATCTAAGAATATTTATTTTGCTTTCAAACAAATGAATTAAAAACACAACCACTTTTGCTTCAACTAGAAACTTTCCCACAAAACCATAAATTACTGCTCAAATCGCTATATTTACTTTTTCTGACGTAAAAGTCTAATTTTTGCTCTATTCAGTCATATTTAAAGTTTATGAAACTGTGATCTATTATTAAGTGAACAAACCACTTGATGTGAGATAAAAAGGTGGCAAGAAAAACACAAGGGAGAAGCTTGAAAACCAAGAAATGGATAATATACTTTCAAGGAATAATACATTTTTAGAAAAAATGAAGTTATGCTTTGGGATGGGCAGAATACTTCTAAAAGTATTTACAGGTGTGAAAATGTTCCTAATTAATGAACGTATGGTTTTAGATATGTTCTCAAGATAATTTGAAAGGAAACTTATAAATCTTTTAGAAGTGGGGCCTTTTTTCCAGGGTTAGTAGAGTTACTACAAAAAACTTATTTTCTTAGACCTCATGAAAGCTATATTGTAATCACAGCCTATTTATACATAATTGATGATGGAGTGTGTTTTTTAATATTATTCTGTATGAGATAAAGTAAAATTTAAAAAAAATGTTATGTTTTTTTGTTGTTTTTTACCATAATAAAATGATTAATATAGAATTAACATTTGTAAGTTTAAATTTAATGATCTTATTATTGTTTATTGAAAATGTTATTTTTACATATGTAATTTATCACATGGTTAAAAGACTGACATGTCTAAGTGGGCGAAGAGTACTTGTATGCAAATGTTTGTATTGTGATCAGAATTTTGTTGGTTTCATATATGCAAGTTCATGTCACAACTTCCACCAGAACACAAATTCAGGAAAGTAGATGTGTGATGTTACAAATGTCAAATGTAAAGAAAGTAGGAAAAGCCAATTTATAGTTTATTTAACATTAAAGAGTACAGTCACACAAATTAGAAACTAGAAACATAACATAATATTTAAAAAAAGAAGTAAACTTACACTTTATTTATCATCACTAAAGTTGTACAAAAGCTGACAGTGAATGCTGCCAACTGATTGTCTTCATCTAGTTGGCAGTTCAAAGTTAGTGGCAGTGGGATAGCCTTAGTAGTTTTGCCATAACTGAAAAACAAAGAAAATAATATATAACACCCCCATTACTGTATAGTTGGAATAATTGAAAATAGTAATAATTAGAAACGCAATTATTTTTGTGACATTAATTGATTTGATCTTAACTTTAATTAATAATTTATTTAACGTGATTGCTTATCAATGAAATCCATGCCCATAGGTAATCAATTATATTGATTAATCAAGTTCATTGCCCAGCTCAAATAGGGCAACAAAACTATGATTTACTGTCTCACAAATAAGTTCAAAGTAATGCTTGCTGTAGTTAAGAGAATTAGGAAATCATAAATAATTTGAATAATTCTTGTAAACCACTTATTTCAGTATACTAACTTCTGAAAAAAATAGTTCAATATGATCGAGAACAAACCACTGTTACATTCTGTTAAGTAATATTAATTTACAAGTATAAGGCAAAAAAAAATTATCAATAAATAAAAAAGCTATGTACATAGGGCTGGCTATTCAATTTGAAATAATGAACCAAACAGAATAGGGATGGAAGTGGACACATCACTTGATTGGGTAATGATCACATAGCAGAATAAGCTGTCTTGACTTTACATGGAGAATAAAATCCCTACACCACTGTTTTCCATACTTTGTCTATCTAAAACTTGGTGTTTGAACAGAATCTCAGCTTTCATGATTATACCTTTCTTTTAGTTAATTTTAGAATACTACTTTTATTACTATTTTACAAGAGAGTAACATTTTACAATCAGAAATTCTGGTTCTATTTCGGCAGTGAGGAAGCTAGTTATGTAGGGATTTTATTCTCCATGTGAAGTTGAGATGGCGAAGTCTGTTACATGATCATTAGCTGGATCAAGTGATATGTCCACTTCTATCCTTGTCTTGTTTGGTTCATTTTCTCAAGTTCGGTAGCCAGCCCTACATAGCTTCTTTATTTACCAAAGAAATCTTTTTCTAATACTTAGTTGGTTACTTTTTTTATAAGATGGTGTAAATGGGTTACTAGGTTATAAAGTGTATTCTAAAGCTTTATAAATTTTTGCTTGAATTAAATAATATAATAGATAATAATAATATAATAATAATAATATAGTTAGTCAAAGATAGTGAAAACTGTTCTGTTTATCAAATGGTGATAAAATTATAGTTACTTCTAGAAATAGGTAAGTGCTAGGCCTATTGAAGAAAGATAATGATGAATGAAAGTAAGAAATCTTGGTTTTGGCTATTTATCGGTTTTTGACTTTGGGACGCTCTAGATAACTGAAAAGTGGCATGCACACTGGAGATAGGGCGACTATGCCAGGTAGCTCTTAGTGATGACCCGTGGAAAAGAAAATCCAGATGTTTTTTGTATTGCTTTAATACAGGCATCTGTTCCATCCCTACATAAGGAGTGCTAGTGCACTCTCCAATTAGAGAAGACATTGACAGTTGTTTTAAGTACTATCAGATATTGTGCTAACATTTTTTAAGTGCATATAAAAGACATGCTATTCACTTGGTATTTTAGCATTATGTTTTTTGTGATACGTGGGTTTTTAACTGTTCATACAGATATTATTGTACGATATCCGAGCATCTTCTCCTCTTCTGGTTAAGGACCATATGTATGGACTTCCAATTAAAGATATTGAATATCACGCTGGTATGGACCTTGTGGTGTCTATTGATAGAAAGATTGTTAAATTGTGGGATAGAACAACAGTAAGTTCATTGCTATTAAACAAGTGTTGCTTGATCTTAATGATTTACATAATTATAACCATGACACTGTAAATTTCTGAATACGAATATTTCAGTTAAATTTGTTGTTAAAACATTGAAATATAGGTTTTGAAAAATAAAATAAGAAATTAAACATTCTTATGTACAAGTTTGTTTATGGTTAACATTTGCATTTGTATTGTGCATATGTGATATTGTAAAAGAAATATTAAGAATTTTTAAAAGTTAATAATATTTTTAATTTCTCAGAACATAATTTTTCACTTTCAACCATGACTAAAGTTTGTGGACATTCATTTATCTGTTTTGATGGTGGTTATTTTCTTGTGTTACTTTCAAGATTTGAATCATTTTATGAATATACATAGCTCAAGAAATTTAAGGTAGAAATGAAAAATATTGTTTCACAAGTTCTGTCCTTGTCATAATAGTGAATATTTATTGAAGAATAGTCGAATTCACTTGCACTATTAATTTGCAGTGTGAGGTCCATGTTGTGTATAAAAGATACATAGACAGTGTTGCTTCTAGGATGCCTACTTGCGTATGTATTTACTCTATTTTGATTGCCACTGGTTTGCTTGTGTACTACTTCATGCAAATAAAACAGAAGTATGCATTTTAATTTTTCATGTGCGCCCGTCCTTTGAACATGTATAATGAATCACCTCGTAACGATAGATTGAGATAGTAACTGGAAAATTCTGAATAGTAATTAGCTCATTTGGATATATGTGAATGTGATTGGCTGCATTGGATTGTAATCCGAAGAGTTGATCTACAATAAAAGAATAATTGAAAAGTTCTAAGTTATTTATTTTGAAAAATGCTACATACATACCACATTTTACCATATTTTCAGTACATACACAAATGAATCAGATTGCAATGATTCAATTTGCTGTTTCTTCAAAGAAAAGTTACTTGATCATGTTATGCTTTATGACTCGCAAAGTTCATACCAACTTCATTACATGCATTCCCACATGTCAGTGGGGGATATGTCCCACTTGAGAAAAATCCTAGAAGTAACATTATATATATATATATTTATACACACACACACAAATATTTGTGTTGTTTATACTGTAGTGTTTTTTAAACTGTGACATGTCCCCCTTTTGGGGGGCATGACAGTATTTCAGGGTGTGTGCAGGAGAAGTGAAAACTTTTGTTTCTTTAAGTTATCATTGAATGTATGTGTGTGTGTGTATGTATATATATATATATATATAACAATTTAAATGAGTTGAACGTTTTTGTTGGGGAGATGTGTATTAGAAAAAAAAGGGGAACATGACCTGAAAGTTTGAAAAACACTACTTTATAGCACCTTCAACATGGCAAAAAGTACTTGAAATGTTCACAGACAATAACATTCGTTGGCATCATTGCATGATCTATTGTTTTCTTTTTCAGGGAAAACCATTTACATCTATTCAGCCACAGGCAGACCTGAATGACTTATGTTTGTATCCTAACTCAGGTATAATAGCATAGTATGTTTGTAATTATCTTACATCATCTTCAGAGATGAAGGTGCAATAGCCTGTAATTTTTATTTGTCTGTTTGAGCTTCTATATGTTGTTGTAGCTTGTTGCTCTTTACTATAAGCATTTTACAAGAATTAGTGTTCTTGTCACGGGAAGGTTTGAGGTATAAAAGGGTTTCTAATTGTGTAATACTTATTTACTGGGTGCTCCACCCAGTGGCTCAGCAGTAAGTCTGAGGGCTTACAGTGCTAAATATTGGGCTTAAATACCCTTGCTGGGCACAGAAGAGATAGTTTATTGTATTGCTTTGCACCTAACAACTGTTGCCCAAGAATCTGGTGCCATTTACCATTGATGAAGCACTTGGGTTATTGAGTTTCTTTTCAGATGCTAACTTTTTTCTGTTCATTATGCCTTGGAATATCTTGAGGCTGAGAGATGGGTATCCTCTCAGCCACACTGAGTAATATGTTTTCATGTTCTATACATTAATATTTGTTATTCAAGATTCAAATTAACTCTTTTTCAGCACAGGCTCGGTCCTAGGGACCGACCTCATAACCATTTTGTGCTCGTTATAGTTTTCATGCTATAACTCTTCATGACATTTTGCATATTATCAGTAAACATTACAAGGCTTTTATATGGAAAATATCATATTGTTTTATTAAGTTTTAAGATTTCTTTAGTAATGTTTTTCTCATGCCTTCTATCTTTTCAAATGTTGACAATTCAACATGCAAAATAATTTTGATTTTAAGATTAAAAATACTTTTACAACCAAAATCTTTATAGCCTCCAGATAATTATTAAATGATTTCTTATAAAAAAACATTATATTTTATTTGTTATTTTCACTGCTGTATCTATATGGGTTGGATCAATTTGACTGACCTCATAACCACCAAAAAAAATTTACGAAATAAATGTACATTATGCTTTTTTCTAACAAGAAAACACAAATTTTTAGTTTAAATAGGTTAAATCTATCTATCTATCTATATATATATATATATATATATATATAT